GGAACAAATTAATCGATTTTTTTTAAAAAAAATTATTGATTTTTTAATTTATAAAATAGATTTAAAAAAAACTATTGACTGATTTATTTATTTAATTATTTTAAAAATAATAATTATCCCTTAATTTATGGATTTCAAATGGAAATATAAAAAAAATATTTCATAATCTCTCCATCCTAATCTCCCTCACCGATTTTCAAAAAAAAAAAAGTTAAAATTTTTCTTCCTTCTCTCTTTCCCAAAAAATCAGATAATATTTTTCGTGAAAATTGTAGATATCTATCTGTATCTTATATATCATATTATAACATAATAAAAAAAAACAACTAAAAATCAGATATACAAACAGATAAAATTAATAAATTTGATTTTTATTTATTCAGTTAAAATATTTCTTTTGCATCTCAATGTCTAATTTTAAAATTTTAAAATGTTTAAAGTTTATCTAAACAAATCTAACTTGAAAATATCTCTCACCATTATACTTTAAATAAATAATATTCACATGTCCATCATATATTTAACTCACATCATAACTTACCTAAATAATAATAATTAAAAACAAATGGAAACATAATATAAAAAAGAAAAAAAAGAAGGCATTTAAAAATCGCAATTCATATATATAGATAATTGTAAATATATTTAAATTTCTTGATTTTTTTATTTTAAAAAAAAATTAGCATTTATTAACTTCTCCCAACCCCCAAGTCTTACCCTCATAATAACACTTTAATGTATTAAAACAAGCATAAAATTTGTTTTTGAAATCCAACACATATGAATTCCTTGAAAAGTCCCAACACATATGATTATTATCCCTCATAACAACACTTTAAAGCATTAAGAACAAACATAAAAAAATTTCTGAAAAGTTCAACACATATAATTATTATCAAAATATTAAACTTTAATATAATATAAAAAAGAAAAAAAATAAGACATTTAAAAAAAAAAAAGACATTTAAAAATCGCAATTCGTATATATAGATAATTGTAAAGATATTAAGAAAAATGGGGTTTCTAAACCCCAAGCCTTGTGGGAGCTCCAATCTCTCAATCTTAATTTTCTAAATTTTTGATTTAAAAAAAAAACTCAGCATTTATTGATTTGGTCAAAATCTTCTGATCACCATTTATTAACTTTTTCCAATCCATATGCCTGCATTTATTAATTTGGTCAAAATCCCTGATTAACATTTAAAATCCTCTCATACAAATAATTATAGATACAGCCCGTGCATAGTTACTGCAGTAGTTTTTTTTAATTTCTTCTGTACATTATGGTTATTGATAAGATTGTTAAATTATTTTTATAAAAAATCTTAAAAAACATAATTTATATATTAAAAAAAAATTAAAAAAAATATAAATATCTATAATTATCTCGTACATAGCACGGGTGATAAGCTAGTATATTATATAAGGAAAAGAGGATTTCTAACCCACAAGTCTTGTGGAAGTTTTAGTATCTCAATCTTAATTTTTTAATTTTTTGATTTACAAAAAAAAAAAAAAACTCAACATTTATTAACTTCTCCCATCCTACAAACTTTTTGGCGGATTTGGTCAAAACCCTTTCATAATAAAACTTTAATGTATTAAGGACTAGTATAACAAAAATTTTCTTAAAAAATCCAACACATGATTATTATCAAAAATATTAAACTTTAATATAATATAACTTTCGATGTTGATATTAATCTGTAATAAAATTAATATTTTTAGAATTCTCTCATTAAGTTCTATCAAATAAGATCAATATTGATTATGAAATTCTTATAAAAAAAAAATTATTACCTCTGACAATAACATGCTACTTTGATTCACAGTAGCATGTTACTCTGTCAATATTATCTAAGAAAAAAAAAAAGATATTTTATTTGGTCCTTGCATAATTATGTATTTTCTCACTAAGCGGTTTATGAAGCAAAATAAATTAGGCTGTCATTTTTACTATACATGGGTCTAATGGAGGGGTTTTGACTAAAATTTTCAAGCCTTTTTGACTTCTCTCATATCTACTGCCACACACTTTTCAATTTCTCTCATACACTATGATTAGTGATAAGATTGTTAAATTATTTTTATAAAAAAATCTAAAAAAATAATTTATACATTTAAAAAATAGCTAAAACAAATATAAATTTTTATTAAAAAATAACATGTTGCAATTGCAGAAAAAAAAAAGAAAAAAAATTACACTATGCATTTCATTAATAATGCTAAAAAATGTGTTTAGTGTTTGTATAAAGAGTTAACACGTATCTACTCTCAAATTATCAAGTGAATATAGATGAAATCAAATAACTCAGTTTTAATGGCTAACAAATATTAGAAGACTGACCATTGAAGCTTAATAACTATTGATTAATAGAATTCAGCAATTGAAAGGTTTCAAACCACATTTCTTTATCTCCTCAAATATTTCCTTCTTTTTGTTCACACATTCAGTTTAATATTGATAGAGAATTGGACGTGTGGAAAATTGAGAGACATTAAAATTATATATTGAGCTACATAATTGTTGTGATAAAAAATAAAGATTGTCTTCTTATTCTATGATGATTTATCTGGTTATACCTCTAATTAAAACGTCAGGTGTGTTTATAAATTCGAAATCAAAACTACAGAATTTATGTAAGTATAATTGCTAATCACATTTTTTTACTTAATGTATAATATTATATTGATTACATTTTTTTACGTTTATTTTTTTAAATATTTATATAGAAGTAAAAAAATTGTCGTTAGGGATAAATTTTTTGTTAATTTAGTTATAAATTTTGCCCATACATTATTTTTAAATTTTGAATAAAAAAAATATAAAATGATTGATTCAAAATATGCTGCATTTGTTATATTTCTTTTTCATTGAGCCAAAAAAAAAAAAGACATTTAAAAATCGCAATTCATATATGTACAAATAATTGTAAACACAACTTATGCAAAGTACAAGTGATACACTAATAAATCATAATTATGTTATTTTTTATTTTTACAAAATTTAAAAAAACTAAAAATGTGAATCTCCAAGCTATAGCCAAAATTCAAAAAATGAACCTACTTTTCAATGGAAGCCAATACTTAAGCCTCGTCTGGCAAATGATTTTTTTAGCTAAAAAGTCATTAAAAAAACTAAGGCTCCGTTTGTTTGGAGAGTTAGAGGTGAGATTGGGATTGATAGTGAGGTGAGACCTACTAATATTGTGTTTGTTTTGAGAGAAGGGGAGGGGATTAATAGTGAGCTCCGGATTAGGATAGGCCTCCCTAAGGGGATTCGGATGGGCCTCCAGGACTTGGTATTAGAAAAATAGTCCGGTGGACTAGAATTTTTTATTTTTATTTATTTTTTATTTTATTTTTTACATGTGGGCAATTTTTTTTGAACATTAATGTTTAATTTTTTATATTTTTTGTTAAGTAAAAATCATTATTTTATTTGTTTTATTTTTTTCTGAAATTTTTTTATTTTATTTTATTTTTAAATTTTTTTTACATGTTGGGCATTTTTTTTAAAACATTAATGTTTAATATATTTGTATTTTTTTAATTTTTTTTTTTATTTTATATAAAAATAATTTAACAATCCCTACACTAACAACTATCATCAAAACAAACACAATTTTACTTAGTCCCCTCACTATTAATCCCTTCACTATCAATTCTTTCAATTCTACATCTGAAAATAAACGGGGCCTAAAAAGCCAACAACCCATAATAAAAAGTCAAAGATTTTATTTTCTCTCTATTTTTTGTACATTTTTTCGTAAAATGTCAAAAATTTATCCCAAACATACTAATTTTTTTTAGTTCATACTTTAACCAAATAGTTAAAAAATTACTAAATTAACCTGTTCTATAATAAATTTATAGAATTCAATATATTTTTTCTAAATGTTATCGTAAATTACCAAGAAAATTCCAAGAGTCTTACAATAGGGACAAGTTAGGAATTTTGATGGAAGGTTAGGGCTGGGACTGACATTGGATCAGCCAAAGCAAAGAACAGGGGCAGAGAGAGAGAGAGAGAGTGTGTGTGCCTGCCTGGGAAGGTGGCAGGTGTTTTCACCTTTTTTCTTTTCTCTCACTAGAAATGGTACCTTTCTCTCACTAGAATTTATTTATTTTTTATAAAAAAAATAATTTCATTATAGTATCTGGGTTTGGATGTTACTGTTGGACGAGAGACAACCCACCAGTTGTTGCGGCTGTCTGAAGGAGAGAGGAAGAGAGAGAGAAAAAGAGTGAGAGAGAGAGAGAGAGATGGCGATGGGATCACACCAGATTTTCAAGTAACAGAGACCCCATCCATACCAATTCTTACAACAAATCCCTCCCAAATACATATCCATACCCATCTTTTCTCCAAATGTTCCTTAGATTTGGACTCTGATGCCTTCTTCCTCAGGTACAAATCTTCTATTCTTTCCATTTTACCCTTCCATTCTCTCTTCCTTCTTGATTTTCTTGGTGTTTGTTCAGAATTATGAAATGGGTATGCTTTGTCCATTTGGTTTGCGCTGTCAAAAGTTCCAAAACTATTTTTGCATTGTTGTCTAAAAATTGGGGTTACAGTACTTTAGATGAAATCTGGGTGTAGTTTTCGAGTTGGGTTTTTGTGTTCTGGAAAATGCTGGGTTTCTGTGAATGATCCTTTTGACTGAGGGTTTTGTTGGCTTTGTTTGGCAAATTGCTGTCTTACAGGTTTTATCCATTACTCAAATTTCTGATCTGTGCTGATTTGTACATATATACTTAGATGTATGTTCTCTCTATGTGTCTTTTCTGTATTTTTTGTTTGAGTTGACTTGGGGAGTCCTAGAAACTGAAAATTGTTCCTGGTTTTTGGTTCCATATATGTTGCTGATAAGGTTAAACTGTCATATCTCTTGATTTGGTCTCCATGCTCTTTTGAACATTTTATTCTCCTTGAATTGCGGCTTTTAATTTTTCTGATCTATAGCTTTTTTGCTTTCTTTTATTTGGTTGAAATGGGTGGCCGATGGTTTGGTTTCCTTCCAAGATCTGGGGTTAGGTAATCCAACAGATTTTGTTCCTTCAACCGATGATGCTTGATTTTGAAGCCTATTTATTGTGATTCATATTCTGCATTTTTCAGAATATATCGAGTATCGGGCATCGGGTTTTCTTTATTTTATGCTTCTCTTTCTTTATGTGCTTGTTTTGAGTTTTGATATTTTAATTGGGACCGTGGGCGCTAGGAATTCAGTTTCTAAATGCCAATGATGAAAACAATGGTTTCTACAATATATTGATTGTCTACTTTTCTGAATCAACAATTCACTTGTTGTATAATACAGGTGATGAAGCTGGCTCTAACGGTTGATTACTTTAGGATGATTTCTAAATGTTTATTATTATTTTAAAGTTATCGATTCATAATATTGGTAGATTGCCCAATTGATGCCTTGGAATGGTTCTTGAGTTAAAAATGGAATTATTTTATTCCCACTACTCCTTTTTAAACCTACCTGAATTTGTGATCTTCTTTGTTGTGTAGTCAATGGTAAATCGCATCAACGATTACATTACTCACGTCTCTGTTTTTTTCGTTCTCATGGATCATTGAGTAAATGCTTCTATTTGCTACATGTTGAAGTTTGCTCCGGTCCTCCTTTTATGTTATGTTATGTCTACGAGATGTTTAAAGATATTTGTCATTTTTTTACCAAATCTGGTGATTGGTTCTTTATGTAGGACTATTTATTTGGAACGTATTTCCCCTGAAGTTATGGATTATGAAACATTTTCTGAATAGACTATATTTGCTATTATTCTGGCAGGGGTTTTGAGTTTCACAACAATATACTAGAAGTGGAACTTTCCTTTTGTGCCACACTCTGAAGAATTCTGATGGGTTCCAGATTCCCATCCCATCAGCTCAGCAATGGCCTTTACGTATCAGGAAGGCCAGAGCAGCCAAAAGAAAGGGCTCCAACTATGAGCTCGACTGCGATGCCCTACACTGGCGGCGATATAAAAAAGTCGGGAGAACTTGGGAAAATGTTTGATATCCCCATGGAAGGTAAGTCGAGGAAATCTGGACCTATAAGTGGTCCTCCTTCAAGGACTGGATCATTCGCAGGTGCTGCTTCACATTCTGGACCAATCTCTAATGCTGCAGCTAGGGCTAGCTATTCCACGCCAGGTCCTGTATCATCTGCTGGACTTTCTGGTTCAGCTTCTGTGAAGAAATCAAATTCTGGACCATTGAATAAACACGGTGAACCCATAAAAAAGTCATCTGGGCCCCAATCCGGTGGAGTAACACCAGTTGCCCGCCAAAACTCAGGTCCTCTACATCCAGTTCTCCCCGCAACTGGTCTCATTACATCGGGTCCCATCTCTTCTGGGCCATTAAATTCATCTGGGGCCCCAAGGAAGGTTTCTGATCCTTTGGACTCGACGGGCTCATTCAAAGTACATGGTTCCTCTATTGCTCACAATCAGGCCGTGACAACACTTAGCCAAGATGATGACTATTCCTTTAAAAGGAACATCCCAAAGCCAATCCTCTGGGCGATGATTCTGCTATTTGTGATGGGTTTCATTGCTGGTGGGTTCATTGTTGGTGCAGTCCACAATCCTATTCTCCTCATTGTTGTTGTGGTTTTATTTGCTATGGTTGCTGCATTATTCACTTGGAATACTTGTTGGGGGAGAAAGGCTACTATAGGTTTCATTGCCCGTTACCCAGATGCCGAGCTTAGGACAGCGAAAAATGGACAATATGTGAAGGTTTCTGGGGTACGTACTTTCTTGATAGTGTCTAGACGTTGATTTTCCCCACTCCTCACCTTTCATTGAGTGGTGCATGAACTGGTGATTGAGATCTTTGGCCATTTAACTTTCTTACATTATTCTTATATTTAGTTTCTTAGGACTCTTAAGACTCTGATTCATTATGACTTTCAATTTCCAAACCATAGATAAAGATTTTTTTAAAGATAGAGGAATTATAAGAATACAAGGATGTAAGTTCATGTCCTAAATTGTGCAAAAGATTATATGCCAGTTAAACAAATACTAACTAAAACCCAAAATTTGACTAACTTTTTCTGATTCAAGTTTGAGAATTGTGGTGAAAACATTTTGACTTTAGTATCTGATGTGTACTGTGTGAACTATTTTCTCGATTTTATAATATTTACCAAAAATGCATGATTGAGTACTATTAGGTTGATTCTTGATTGTATGATTTGTATGAGTTTTGAATCAGTCTTATTAGTCTGCACTATGTGTATATTACCTTCTTGTGTATGCTTAATTTATATAAATTGGAAGTATTTAAACTGTGGTTGCTTAAATTCTTGAAGGTGGTGACGTGTGGAAATGTTCCCCTTGAGTCATCCTTCCAAAAAGTCCCTAGATGTGTTTATACGTCTACAAGTTTATATGAGTATCGAGGATGGGATTCAAAAGCTGCCAATCCTACACATCGTCGTTTTACATGGGGTCTTAGATCCTCAGAAGTGAGTATCTGAATATTTTCTTCATAATCTTGATGGTTAGGTTATAATATCCATAATTCTTTCTCAAATTGTTTAGGTCTTTAATAAAATTGCAGCTGTTCTTAGTTTATGAATAATCTAATGGTAGACTGGGTATGGATATAGATCAAGCGTGCCCTTTTTGGTACTGTTGATTTGACTCATTTGACATGAACTACTGTTTATGTTTCTTGGCAGAGGCACGTGGTTGACTTCTACATCTCGGATTTCCAGTCTGGGTTGAGAGCATTGGTTAAGACTGGCTATGGTGCGAAGGTGACACCATATGTGGAGGAATCTATCATTGTTGATGCCAACCCACTGAATAAAGATTTATCTCCACAATTCTTAAGGTGGTTGGCAGAGAGAAATCTTTCAAGTGATGATCGAGTAATGCGATTGAAAGAAGGGTAAATTTTATGCTTTGTTAAAAGAGTCATCTTCACCTTCATTATTGTTTCATTTTGAACGAAAATGAATCAGCGATGTTGCTTCAAGGAGTGTATGAAAATTAATTTCCGTAGAACCTCTTTACATGTTCTGATAAGAAAACATCTATTTATAGGACGTGAAAATTTAGAATATTGAACTTTTCATGTGGCCTAAGGTCCCATGTTGGTCCCTTGGAATTTCTCATGTGAATTAGCATAGTTGTCGCCTAAGGCCATAACTGCAGTTTACGAAGTAATCGGATGACAAATAAAACCCTTTTAGCAGCTCTCTTTGGGTGATTCTATTTACATCACAAAAACACCTCAACCTTATTTCACCCAATTTCTAATTACACCACACAAAATTTAATATTCTAATTTTAGCTCCTTACACTCACCATAATGCCAAACATACCTCCATCTTTACACCCGTTACCTCTCAAACCCAGACTCTACCCCACCCCAACTACCACCTACGGTTGCCGCCACCTCCACTTTTGACCACCAACCCCTAGCCCTTTCTCGCCATGACTCCGGCTTCCCCAGCCTCTTCCCCCACTATGGCGGTCCCCTATCTAGCCAGCCCCCTATCCCCCCACCACCGCAAACCCCTCCCTAAATCTAGGTTTTAGGGAAGGAGGAGGGGTGGTAGAAGAGGGGAGGAGCTGGGGGGTGGTGGCGGCTGCTGATGGGGGTGGCGGTGAGTGGCTACAGTGGTGGTGGACTGGTGGAGAAGGTGGGGGGAAGTGGTGTGTAACAAGAAATTTGGGTTTTGGATTTTTTGAGTACTTTTTGGTAATTTTAAGCAGGGATAAAATTGTAATAAAAAGAGAAAAATGGGAGTCTCAAGGAGTGTGTTTTTTTTTTTTTTTTGTGGTTGGTAAATAGAATCTCCCCCAGCTCTTTTCATTTTTATATCTTCTTTTGCCAAGTTGTTAGTTTGCATGCATCAAGTTTTGTATTGTGGTGTGGTGTGGTGTGGTGTGTTGACCTTGTGGATTGCCATTTGTGCTTTGGTAGGTACATCAAAGAAGGAAGCACGGTAAGTGTAATGGGAGTGGTTCAGAGGAATGATAATGTGCTTATGATTGTCCCTCCACCCGAGCCATTGACCACAGGTTGCCAATGGGCTAAATGCATCCTTCCTGCTAGCCTCGAGGGTATTGTATTGAGATGTGAGGATGCATCAAAGATCGATGTTATACCAGTGTAATAGTGCGTGTTGTCACAAAGCACTTTCAGGTATTGCTTCATGAAAATTAGTTTGTTCTCTTCCTAATATATAGATGGTGGTTGTGGTTGTTTGTAACAGTGATGATGATCAGTGGTATAGTTGTTGTGGAGGCCTAATTGTATTTGATATTTACTTTTGTGTATAGCTGTTATTAGGGTATGTTTTCGTTGTTGTTTCTAAAAATAGAGCTTGAAAGGTTTTGTAATGGGGATGGTTGGGATTATTGTATGCCATGGTGAAATTTACATGTTTGAGGAGGAGATTTGTTCGTTTTATGTTAACTGGGGAAAACACGCTGTTGTATTGGGTGTATTGTGTTTTATTTAGAACTCAGTGCTTCGGCTTGTGGCCTCTTTATACTCACATTTTTGTTATTATTCATGTTCGTACATTATATTGATTTGTGCTTTATGCCGTTTGATAAAATTTACAGTTTACTGTTTTTTGTTTACAGAAAAAGTTATATATGTAGTTGGGAATGCCAAGGATGTCCATAGTAGGGAACTCCTAAAGCTAGATGTTATGGTTGGGATTTCCTAAACTAAAATTTCTATATTAGCAGACCTTAGATCAATGGTAAGTTTGGATTTAAGGATGAGAGAGAAGAGTTATTTGCAAACTAATAGAGTATGGAGGTTTTTGTGATCACAATTATGTGAAGCATCGATCTCTTTGGTGCAACATGTGGGACTGCGTATAACATTTTTTTAAATTTTTAAATTTTTTTTTTACTTTCTTTGTAACGCAATTTGGACGACGCATGAATCGGTGTTAATAGCATTGGCTTTTTATGTTGAGGATATAAATTCAAAATTATTCTTCGGTTGTAATGATTTAAATTGATATTTAACAATTCATATTGATGTTAAAGCAGGCAACTTAGCTCATAGTATTATATATTTGTATGTGTTTAATTCTCTTAAGTTATGAATGAGAGAGAGTTTGAGCAGACGATTGGAATTACCGTCGCACTGCAGCAGATGATAATTGAATTAGAATTAGAATTTGAATTTGAATTTGAATTAGAATTAGAATTATTATGCCATAGTGCATTGAGGATTTTGAGGATATAAATTCAAAATTATTCTTCGGTTGTAACGATTTAAATTGATATTTAACAATTCATATTGATGTTAAAGCAGGCAACTTAGCTGATAGTATTATATATTTGTATGTGTTTAATTCTCTTAAGTTATGAATGAGAGAGAGTTTGAGCAGACGATTGGAATTACCGTCGCACCGCAGCAGATGATAATTAAATTTAAATTTGAATTTGAATTTGAATTTAAATTATTATGCCATAGTGCATTGAGGATTTTTAGAGCAGCGGTGAAAGGTAAGGTTTTAAATGATTCAGTTGACACTTTTTAATTGCCATTTGCATCAATTTCAACTTAGCGCAAGTACATGGTCAGTCAATTACATGTGCTACTCATAATTTTGTAATGATTATTGAACCACTACTTACATTACATTAGAGTATCTTTGTAGGTGGAACGTACTGTTATGCTGCGTTTGGTTTGGGGATTTGGGGAGGAATTTGGAAAGGGAAATGGAAAAGGTAGGTGAAATGTGAATAAATCATGCCTATATTTCACATAGTTTCACACACCTTTTCCATTTCCTTTTCTAAATCCCTCCCCAAATTCCCTAACCAAACACAGCATTACTGTGGTTTAAGGGGGAGATTTTTTTACAAATCAGTGAATAAATATAGTATTTTAATTATTAAAATATATTAATTTTTATTTATTATTATTTTTTTCTGTCACCACTGTCCCGTCATTTTCCCTTTGATTAACAGCCAAAAAATATTTTTAAAAGGGGACTAAAATATGAATTTATTTATTTTATCTAGAAACAAAAAAACTCAAAGATAAATTAATAAATAAATTCAAGGATAATTTTCAAAATTGTTATTTATTTTTTATTTTATTTTTTGGGTTAAGCTGATTCTTTCAAATAAAAAATCTCTTACCGTGCAAGCTAATCAGGTCTTGTCATGTAAAAAAAATAAAATCATTATTATGATAATTCAAAGAGTGTATGTTTAAAGTTAAAATAAAATCAGCATGCTTGGTTATCATTTTTCAAAACACTTTTCAAAAAATTTTATTTTCTTATTTTTCGTGTTTTTTTGTTTTTATTGATTTTTTTTAATATTTTGAGCATTTTTTTTTAATTTTTAGACATATCTAACATATATATACCTAAAAAGAAAAAAAATAAAAATAAAAAAAACCTTTTAAAACTTCACTAAATACCAAAAGTACAAAAAAAATACGAAAATTTAGTACATTTTTTATATTTTTATGTATTTATTAATTTTTGAAAATATTTTTTCACAATTTTTTTACTTTTTAGATACATCTAAGTAAGGTGCATCTAAAAAAGTAAAAAAAATGTTTAAAATTTTAAAAACATTCATTAAAAACAAAAAAACACGAAAATAAAAAAAACTCAATTTTAAAAAAACTTAACTCAAAAAATTCAAACCAAACATACTGATTACTTTTATTTTAGAAGTTGTGATTTTAAAATTATTTTATTTTATTTTTAAGTAAAATTGTTGAAATCTATACTATTTATTATTATATTGCAATAAAAAAAACGACCTAACAAAACCATTCCTGATTCCTGAAGCATATTGCAAATTGGGCTCACTATGCGGTTCTCAGTGCACCGACAAAGAAGAGTATAAATACTGTTGGGCTGGGCTGGGCTGGCGTGGCCTGTCTCTCTCTCTCTCTCTCTCTCTCTCTCTCTGACTCTCTTCTCCGACGACGAGGACAACAGCGAAAAGCGATCTCTCTCTCTCTCTCTCTACATTGTTATCTTGTTTGGATCCGATGAGATGGGAAGGGCAACAACAGTCGGAAAACACAAATCGACCAAGTTTGTGTTGATTTGCGTGGCTCTTCTCGGAGCTGCCCTCTTCGCAGATCTCTTTTGGGCTTCCTCTTCTTCTTCTTCCTCCTCTTCTCCCTACCTTTCCATTTCATCCGATTGGCCTATCCAAAATTCCGACAAATTCATCGTTCCCCCTCTCCATAACACCACAAAATCAAAGGTACCACTCACTTTCCCACTTCAATTCTTGTCATTTGTTATTTTTACTTTGCTTAATTCATGAAAATTCTACACATATTGCATGATTAACATGATTATGGGTTGGTTTCCACTGCAAAGTTGGGTTTTTAGTGTTTTCTTGATTGATTGAACAATTGGGCAGGATAACAAGGATACTGTGCCTGGGAGATTCTTGTCAGCAACTTTTGCTGATTTACCCGGTCCGGAATTAGAATGGGAGAAGATGGCAACTGCACCGGTGCCGCGTCTTGATGGGGCTGCCATTCAGATCAAGAATCTCCTCTATGTGTTTGCTGGATATGGAACCATTGACACTGTGAGAAATCTTTACCACCTCTTGTTTCTTGTTTTCAATAATGCTTTAGCTTCTTCGGCTACAACATATCTTTGTGAATTGCCTTGTGTTCAATTTATGTTTTTGTTGATATAATCACGTCATGACCAATCTTTTAAAAATTGATCAATATTATTAAATGAGATACGAATGTTTAAATAAAAACCTAACAATGTCAAGATCTCATGAGTTACCAAATAAAACACTCAATAGTCATGAAGATTTTACTTCATATCCGTGCCTAAGAGCATCTCCAATCCTTGCCCTCTCTCTCTCTCTCTCTCTCTCTCTCTCTTTTTTGTTTCTTCATCAAATTTGAGTGAAAATTTGGTTGAAAGCTTCATATGGCATGGAACACTCCAATCCATACTCTCTCTCTCTCTCTCTCCACCCATCACATCTTTTTGAAAAATTCCAAACGTATCATAAAAACCTGTTTTAATCATTTTTGATGAAAGAAATCATCTCCATTTCTTGATCCTTTTAATATTTCAACAAACTTGAGTAACAATATGACTGTTGGAAATTTGGCCAAGGATTTGGTTCATCCTTGATTAGGTGAAAATTTTGCCTATCCCTTGATTTTATAAAAGTTTGATGAAATGATTGGAGCTCTGATCGAATTCAAATTTAATGAAAGAATTGGTGAAGGATTGAAGATGCTCTAATGCAATTTGCCAATGTGAACACTTGGAAGTTAACCATATGTTACTGATTAGGATAAGTGAACCAATCATTTGGAGTTGTTTCCTAACTCGTTAGGCTGACAAGCCATGTTAATTTCCAGTTATTCATATGTCTGTATAGGTACATTCTCATGTCGATATATACAATTTCACAGACAATACATGGGGAGGGCGGTTTGACATGCCAAGAGAAATGGCTCATTCGCATTTGGGTATGGTAACAGATGGGAGATACATTTATGTGGTCACTGGACAATATGGTCCACAATGTAGAGGACCTACAGCGCGCACTTTTGTTCTGGATACTGAAACAAAGCAATGGCAAGATATGCCCTCCTTACCCGTGCCTAGGTATGTTGATATCCGGTGGTGATTTTAATTTTTAATTGGTTTGCTGATTATTTTAAGTACAAACTCGCATTTCCCCTTTCCTCTTTCCCATTCCATGGTAGTATTTTCATTTCTGTCCTGAAACATACTTTTGACTTCCTTCTATTTATTGTGATGAAATGAATGTTATATTCTTCGCATATTGATATTGATTCTGACCACATGCCGCTTGCCTGTATTCTTGTTATGATTGCATTTATTGCATCAGAATTCCATCTTTATTGTTTGTCTTTTTGTTGCTATGTGTACGTACTTATCATGACTAGTGTACATAAATAAAAAGGTAAAGAAGGAAGAAGCAAAAATGATGGTTCGAACTCACCAATGCAATTGTAAATAGTTTAGATGTTAATTTATTAATAATGGTGTGCACATTACATGCTTTTCTTCAATAAAAAATAGTTTAGATGTTAATTTATTAATAATGGTGTGCACATTACATGCTTTTCTTCAATAAAAGCATTTCTATTCCTTTGATGTTGCATTATTATTTTTTTTTGTTTGAGTTACATGACTTTGATATCTTCACTGATGGCTCTATGGAGATATTCACCCTATTATATTGTGTTGTCTATGTAGCCTTCGAGTGCCTCAATATAGAGAGATATTGGTTATGAGTTGTTTGTGTTTTGTTAAATGGTATTTGTGCAAATATTTATTATAGATTTTGAGGAATGTCTTTGTGCATTGATATATAGTTTTATTTTCTTCTTTTTCTTCATGGAATGGATGCACTTGCATTTGGATATGTGTATGGACACGACAAAATGTCCACTGCCTTGTTATTGCATGAACAAAATGTGTTAACTTGATATTTTAGGTATGCACCGGCAACCCAACTTTGGAAAGGTAGACTACATGTGATGGGTGGCAGCAAAGAGAATCGACACACACCAGCATTAGAGCATTGGAGTCTTGCAGTGAAGGATGGAAAAGCTGTAGAAAAGGAGTGGCGTAATGAAATACCCATACCCCATGGTGGACCTCATAGGTTTGTTGACTGTCTTCTTGTGAAAACTAGTTATATTATCAGCAAATTGTAAGAATCTTATTCAGATAGATGCATGAATTTAATTGTTAAATAATGACCAGTATCCTGAAAGTGATAATGTGAAATGCAATTGTCAATTTTTTGTTTTTGTAATTTTTCTAATATCGATAAGATGGACTAAATGACTACCAAAAATCAAATACTTAGGCTATGTTTGGTTCATGGATTTAGGAAAAGATTTGGAAAGGGAAAGGAAAAAGGTAGGTGAAATGTGAATGAAATATAACTACTTTTCACGCATCTTTTCCATTTCCTTTTCCAAATTCCTCCCCAAATCCATGAATCAAACACAGGTTTACTGCCAAAAGATGTAGAAAATGAATGATAAAATGAGTATGTTGTCTATCCTGATATTCTTCTAAGTTTTCATTTCTACCATCATTAATGATGAAATGACTGTTTTATTTGTCCTGATATTCTTCCACTCTTAATTTCTACTTATTTATCCTGATATTCTTTCATACTTAATTTCTACCGTTTGCTTAAGTGCTACATTGTTGCTAAAGCAATTGTTGCACTAATTTTCTTGATGAATGGACATCTTTTCATTTAACTTCAGATGGGTGTTTTGTTAATACAACTTACAGTAATAAAGTTAAGATTTTCTTCCATATCCAGGTCAGTTGTTCACCAATTTGTTTTCTTCTATTGTCTGCAACTGGTCTGTTTGTAGTTCTGGGATCTTCTTGGACTTTGCTTCCTTAATTTTCTCATTTCAAGTTCATTTTTTCTGTCCGGCTAGTTTCTCATATTTATTTTGTACCTGAATTGAATCTATTGATGGATCTTCTTTTGGACCCCATCAGAACATCTAAGCTTGTTTTCATTGAAATTTACTTCAGCCACTGATCCTACAATTCTGTGTGGTCAAAGTTCTAATACCTCGGACTGCCAAGTTTATTTTTTATTATTATTCTCCATGTTTTCTTAAGTTATTGTTGCGCTTCTTTCAAGTGATTAACTTGACACAGATGTCAGGAATATTGAAACAGAGGTCAAAAAAATTTATTTGCATTGCATGGATTTGTGAATGTCACTTTTCTATTGGGACCGAGACGCTACAATCCTTTTATTGATCATTTTTACTTTCATGTAGGGCTTGTATTGTTGTGGATGATCGATTATACATTATTGGTGGACAAGAGGGTGATTTTATGGCCAAACCTGGCTCACCTATTTTCAAGTGCTCTCGCAGGAATGAGGTAATATGATTGGTATGTTTGCAATGAATATTGACCGATGATTAAGTATCCTTTTTTCATTTTCCCTGGGTTGCCATGATGTAAACAGGACATATTCTTCTTATACATAATTGATGCAGAAATCTAGGTACTAACCTACTATATCATATGGAAGTTCCTTTTGACTTGTTCAAGATGATTATTTTCAAACAAATGAAAGTAAATGCTGCTTTTGCATCAGAATTCCATTTTTGTTGTTTGTCTTTTTGTTGCTATGTGACCTATGGTCAGCATTATCTAGTTTTCATGTTGTCCTATGATGGAAGCACATTGTGCCGAATGATCAGGGAAGATAGTAAGATCAGGTACAAATGCAAACCCAAGTTCCTTTACAGTTTTTGATTGTCTTTATGTTTTGTACTGAATTTCGAAAACCTAAATAGATTAATGAAATAATATATGGATGTTTTTATGGATACATCTATTTTCGTTTATGTTATAGGCTTTTACCATTCCCCTAATGTCGAAGAAAGACTTCCGGTGATATGCATTTAGGCTTCATTATGACTTGAGTTCTTGACTGTTACAGGTTGTATATGCCGATGTTTATATGCTAGATAATGAGATGAAGTGGAAAGCATTACCTCCCTTGCCAAAGCCTGATTCCCATATAGAGTTTGCTTGGGCAATTGTCAATAATTCTATCGTCATTGTTGGAGGTACGACAGACAAGCATCCAGAAACCAAAAGGATGACGCTGGTTGGAGAAGTGTTCCAATTTAATTTAGATACACTGGTAATGTTTCTTTATCATCTATGCATTTTAAATATTGTAGATGAACTAGTACTTGGTTTTGAAATACTCATTTACTTTTGCACCTTGGGGGGCTGCAATATGTAACTGGCTGCTTCCTTATTGCTTAAGCTACCTTTGCTTACTTGTTCAAACCATTGAATTTGAATTGTTGGCTTATAATAGGGCCTCATAAGTTCCTATTCTGCTACATGCCAACATTTGGGTTTTCTTTTCCTTCTTATTTCAATTTTTTTGCCAAGTGAAATAAGGTCCAGGCATATTGATTGGAATTCTCATTCTCTGTCAGAAAAAAAAATTGTTCTTTTGAACACGATAATTTTGCACATGCGATATGTTTAACTCGCATTGATAGTGTTTCTCTGCCATGACACTTGTTGCCGATTCCTTGTGTGTCCTTAATGGTCATCGTGGTTTGTGAATGATTGCAGAAATGGTCGGTGGTTGGAAAACTTCCTTATCGTGTGAAAACCACTCTAGTCGGGTTTTGGAATGGATGGTTGTATTTCACATCAGGCCAGCGAGACAGGGGACCAGATGATCCAGCACCAAAGAAAGTCATTGGAGAGTTGTGGAGAACTAAATTGCACTTGTTGTGACCAACTGATTGCCAGGATAATCGATTATTAGCACATAACCGAATCAAAATGTATGTTTGTTGCTTGCTTGTCTAATTTTTCTTTTTTGACTCCAATCAATTGTTTATTTCTCCTCTCTCTCTTTTTTTTTTTTTTTTTGATTTCTCCTCTCTCTTTTTTTTTTTTTTTTTTGCCATTTTCTTGGAGGGAGGTAGGCAGTTTTATCAATGGTTTCTTAGCTTGCAACCCTTGTGTAGTTTTTGTATGACCATGGCTACTATCTTATAGGGATACAAATATATCAAATATGCCACCCACAAATATTCTAAAGGGGTGTTGAAATGTGGTGCTCTCTCTGTCTCTGTCTCTGTCTCTCTCGTGTGATGAAATGTGTGCTTCTCACAGGTCAGGTGATGCACCTGTGTAGATTGAGGATGTTGTGTGAATATACAAAGATCAGGGCAAACACATTTTGCTGGTTGTCTTGTGATGATGATTACTTGAGAGCACAATCTGATGATCTGGTGGTGCATAGGAAGAACTGGTTCCAATATGCTCTTTGTGGCGCGGGATTATCTGTCTCATAATCTTTTGGTCATTGATTTTGATAATATGACAATATGTGATGGTTATGAGACACACAACGAGATAGATGATCTCTTCTCGGTGTTGGCTTGCCTTGGTCATACCATTGGCATTGATGCCTTTATTAATAGAGAAATTTTACTCTGCGGCTCAAACCATATCACACCTGATCACTTTGTCCTCTAATTTATATCAATTTTAACAATCAAGGATGAAAAACAAAAAAACAGAAACTCTTTGGATGTTTGATAGTTACCCTTGGCGTTGTTTTTACTGAAAACAAGATGAAGACTGAAAAAGCCATAATCAACTCAATTTACATAAAACGGTTTAAAAGCTACACCTTAGCTAATATTTACAAAACTGCCATTGATGACAGTATTCTTCTTCTCTAGATCTGCAGCACCAGTTCCACAAGTAAATGCTCGCCATCAAATCTCAGCCCAGATGACCCAGAGGGCTGGAGTAACCCATCCACCATTCCACCAAACACATACAAATAACGCCCCGAATGATCTGCGCAAGCTTGATGAAAAGACCTGCAGTTAGGTTTATAACCCCTGGACTTGATTCTTCTCCACATTTTTGCAATCGATCCGTTTTTCCATTTTGGCATCATCGGCGCCATTTTAATGGATGGAATTGAACTAATATCTAGTACCCAAAAATCATCTTTCCTATGCCTGTACGAATCTTCCCCACCATAAATCAGCAATCGACCTCCCAAAATGAGCGTCGCTGAGTGACCAACGCGTGGGAGAGAGAGTCCTTCGGGTATGCTTCGTAGCTCAAATAGTAATTGAAGCCATCTCAACCGCCCATCGGATGAATCAAAGAGCCAAACATCATTGAGCACCTCATAACCCAATCCTCTTCCTCCAAACAAAACCATTTGGTTTCCCCCAATGTAGGTCAAAGAGTGTCCTGACCGAGCTGCAGGCGATGGATGAGTCGTGACTTCGTGCCAAGTTCCGAAAAGGAAATTTTCAGAGAGGTCTAAAACCCATGTATCTCCGAGTCTAAGACCTGACAATCCAATCCCTCCATGGATAAGCATTGTTTTCTTGTCAATGCAACATCCAGCATGAGCCCCCCGTGGTGGAGGCGCAATGGGACCCACATCAAGTAGCGTCCAAGACATTGTAATGCCGAGGGTCTCATGGAATACTACTTGACCTACCCATGTATCGTTTTGGCGGATACCATGGTCATTGATCCCTCCGAAGAGGACAACAGAATCACCAACAACAACACATGAATGCCCAAAGCGCCCGGTTGGAATACCTGAATTAATCTTCTGCCAATTCAATGTCCGCTTAAAGTCATTACCAATGTATGCCACCCATGTGTCATCGAGATGGCGACCTAAAAGGAAGATAAATCAAGGACAAATTAGCTTCAGCTGAATCACCATAAAACACGATAGTTCAATTTACAAGCTAGAATCTGTTATACAGTTCTAATGTAAGTCATACAAATCATTTTCAGAGCAACAAAGCAAATAATGCTTTGAATTTTTGTAGTAGTCACAATAGTGGAGCAAGGTATTTCAAACTACATGGTTAGACAAGACCACCTATTGCACTTTCCTAGTTTGAAACACATATAGTGAGCGATGAAGTTGACCACTTAAATCCTACTCACACTCAACAGTTGGCATTGTGTTGAAGTAATTCCGTCTTGCGCTCTAGGGTATAACCGATTCAAGCAATTAGTTTTTGGATCAAATTGCTTCAATTACTCCTAATTTGTTAAGAACACCAATAGCAATCCAGGAGCCCGAACACAAGATAACATGACGTCATTATTAATCAAGGCAAAGCAGCCTCCTCTTGAGCGTTTCTATGCACTAATGCAATAAATTTGTCTAGAAGTGCAAGGTAATCCCTCCAAAAACTTGTCTTGATCAGACGAAACCATTTTAGAACTCACTACATTCACTAGAAAACCACTCAAAGGATACAGATCTTAAATGGGAAAAAGAGAGTATGGATCCTATTTCGAGATCTCTAATGGCCATAAGTTTGTTTCAATTGGCTAATTTATTAAAAAAGTTGGCACACACTCAACAGTTATGACTGGTAGTAAGAATCCTTGTTGCTAGCACTCGATCTTTCCACACTTTGTGTATAGTCTTCGATCAACTGATTATTATGAAAATGCTGGAACCTGCATTCAGAACTTGTTAAGACAAAGGTTTCTAAGCAGAGTGGAAAAACAAACAAAGGAAGAGTAGATAAGTAAGTAAGCTTACACATTGACAACAAATTAGATGATCGAAGGAAGATTATAGTAGGTAACTGACAAAAAATAAGAGCAACCACCAAAATCAAAGGCTAAAAGAAACATACAAAACTTATATATAGCCATAGTCATTATATACTCATGCCATGAGCCTGTATGCGTGTCATAGCCACACGGGAGTATGCCAAGTCATCAAGAAGTAATTCCAATGTCCTAAACATCCATTTTTATCTAAGTTTGGATTACGTGGCAAGGGAAAACATAACCCAAAAGTTCCAAGGAAATTTATCCCTAAATAAACAACGAATTGGGAAATTGCCTAAACTATACTTGAACCGCGACATGTTCAGTAGATTTTAGTCAGCCTAAATACTTCAAAAGCTACTTATTTATCTCTATAAGTTGCTTGTATGCATCCTGGCCACTACATCAAACCCTTTTTATTTTTTTTTCACTAGGTAGGCAGGAGGTTAGCGAGTTAGTAACACAATCGATGCTTCTCCATACACTCCCCAACCTCCTATCAACTTTCAGTTATGCTCAAGTCAGTAAATCAAAAAACTTGCACCTCACAAATTTAAATGTCAGAAGGAGAAGAGCAAAAGAAACACACACACACAAAAAAAAAAAAGAAGAGAGGCAATCATCCATGTCCTAAAACCATCAGGGAAAACATAACCCAAAAGTTTCAAGGAAATTAAAATCATCAGAAAAAAAGAGAGTTAAACCTTGACATATTAAGCCTAAATACTTCCAAACTACTTATTAATCTCTATAAGTTTCTCGTACGCAAATCAAACACTTGCACAGCAGTAAAAGAGAAAGACGATCAAAAAGCAATCATCCGAGTTCCAAAACCATTAATTAAATAAAGAATCATAAGCAAAGATAACAGAAAGAAAGAAATAAGCAAAGATAACAGAAAGAAAGAAATAGACATAAATGGGAGTGGTTAAAATAATAACAATAAAAAAAAGGAATCATCCATGTCCCAAAACCATTAATTAAAATATAAAAAATAAAAAATAAAAATCATAAACAAAGATTACAAAAATGGGAGTGGATAAAAGAACTGACCTCCCTCACATCCCCCACCAAACAAAACCAAACACCCAGAAACAAAATTGAGGGAATGAGAAGCTCTGGGGCCTGGAAACACCAAATCACCATCTGGGTCAGAGAGCCTGTTGCAAGAAACGGAGTCTAGCTGATAGACCTGGCGATAGAGCTCCATCCATGGAAGCTGATTGTGTTGTTGGTGTTGTCTGGAATCAGCAGAAGCAGAAGCAGATTTGATAGCATCAACAGAAGTGGAACCCCAATCCCTCCTGCAGATGGATTCCCAGAGGGAATCAGAGTAAGTGAAAGACCTGAATCTCTTGCAAGTCATGGCAAAAGAGAGGATCGAATCTATGGGTAAGAGTAGGAGGATTGAAAAGAGATGGTCTTGAGCTATGTTGGTTATGGGTGACCAAGGTCCATAGCTATTGCTGCTTTCTGCCATGGAAGCTGTGTGTGTGTGTGTGTGTTTCTTGGTTTTTTTTGAGGCTTCTCTGTTGAAGTTGAAATTTCTGGCTCTGGTTCTGCAGGCAGAGCAAGAGTGAGTTCTCTTTCCTCCCCCAATTCTTTTCCTTCTTTCACAATTTTTGGTTGTTTTTTTGGCACAAGGGTGGAATTATCTGGTTAAATTGTTTTGTCCGTTGTCCTATTGTGATGTGAAACTGTCCATCAATTTATTTCTCAATTAAAATCATCTATAGTATTTAGCTGATCATGTTAACCCTTTTGTTTCTTGTTTTGTCCATTTTGTGTGTTTCTTGTTTTGTCCATTTTGTTTTCTATCTCAATTATCCTTACATCAATCGAATTTGTTTAATTTAAATTTGTTTAAATGAATCTCTTTCAAAGAAGATATTTTCGAGAAACAACTCACTTAACATTTTATATGTAAAAATTGAATTAATTTATTATTTAATAAATCTCACCACTCATAATTATTATTAATATAATATTAACATAAAAAATTAAAAATTAAAAATTATATGAAAATATAATCACTTTTAGAAAATGTATTCACTATTAGAAAATTTCAAAGTATTAAGGCTTAATTTGAAAACTTTGTTAAAAGTCAAAAGCTAATTTGAGATCGTTTGGGAAGTCTTGGTTTTGGATTTTTTTTTTTTGTTAAAATAGTCATAAAAAAATAAAATAAATTTTTTAACTTAATAAGATAAAATATCACATCTAATCCATAATCATTATATTCTTTCTCTCACTAAAAGTCAAAAAAATCTAAGTCTTTTCTAAACGAGACTTTTTAACCTCAGGTTAAAATAGCCAAAAAATCAAAAAATCAACCCTAAATGAATCCTTTTTAATCTATTTTTGATCACATCACCCCTCTACTTTTTTAGATATTTTTTTTAAAAAAAAATAAATAAAAAAAAATAACTTTTAACCAACTTCCTAAAACAATCCTAAATAATAAAAAGTATTTTTTTTTAAAAATAAATAAATAAATAAAAAATAACTTTTAACCAACTTCCTAAAACAATCATAAATAATCACAAGTCTGGGTGATTCTACGTACATTCGGATGATCATAATTCAATAATTATGAAAAAAATACTGATAACCCTTTAGTTGAAAGTGTACATAAGTGGCTAACTGAGTTAGCCTAATTTATTAAATTTATTTATATTTATTTTAAGAATTTATATAAAATGTTTGAAACAATTTCTGAATAATATTAATTTGATGAATAATATTATGTGTTTGGTTTGAATTTTTTAGATTAAGTTTTTTGAAAATTGAGTTTTTTGTTTTTGGTGTTTTTTTAATTTTTAGTGAATACTTTTAAATTTTTAAATATTTTTTTTTACATTTTTAGATGTACCTTACTTAGATGTATCTAAAACGTAAAAAAAAAAAAATTGTGAAAAAATATTTAAAAAAATTAATACATACATAAAAATACGAAAAATATACTAAATTCTCTTATTTTTTTTAAAATATTTTTGGTATTTAGTGAATTTTTAAAAGATTTTTTCACAAAAATTTACTTTTTATTTGTATTTATGTTAGGTGTGTCTAAAAATTAAAAAAAAATTACTTAAAATATTTTAAAAAATTAATAAAAACAAAAAAACAATAAAATAATTTTTTATGAAAAGTGTTTTTAAAAAATAAAAAATAAGCAAACTGTAACTTTATTTTTTAATGTTGGGAAGTTTCCAATAGTACAAATATTTTTTTAAAATTTTATTAAAAGAAAAAAAACTGCCCAAACATAAAAATTGCACCAAAACATAGTGCCACTAAGCCTCCGTTTGGCAAGCAAAAAATCAGGCTTTTTTTGGCTAAAATAGTCACAAAAAACAAAATAGGCTATTTTAGCCACAAAAAACAAAACATCAAATCTAACCCATAATCATTACAATCCTCTCTCACAAAAAAAGCCAAAAAAGCCAAAAAGCCAAAAAGCCCTTCCCAAACCAGGCTAAAATAGCCCAGACTAAAATAGCCAAAAAGTCAAAAAGCCAAAAAGCCAACCCACTTCCCAAACGGAGGCTAAAACTTTTGAGTTGGTTAATATGATTATTTGCAAGAGTCTTGGTCTAGTGAGCATGAATTCTAAATTAATATGTCAAGTCAGAGCGTTACTATTGTCCATTCCATGGTGGCCTAAAAAGGAGTTAAAAAAAAAAGAAAAGGAGGGGGGAGGGGGGGTTGTGTGAAGATGACTTGCAACTTGGTACTAATGATGCAGTTGGAATCAAGATTAGGATTTTTTGTCATGATTTTTTTTTATATTTTTATTGTAATAATTCAGTAATCTACCATGGAATCCAAGTGAAGTTATTTTAAGATGGAAAAATTGCCTGTGAGTGTGCCTATCACAACATTATTACAAAATTATGAAATTTTTCATATTTTTAATTATTAATTTGTATAAATTTTAACATTTCTTTGTAATTTTTTTTAAACATTACACCAAATTTAAGTTCCCCCTTTTAAGATACATGGTTATGTAATATTATTTTTTTTGTCAAATTTGAACAATTAAATTATATATTTTATTGATATGTCTTAGAATGATGGTACATAAGGCTGAGCATAAAAATTGAAAGGAAAAAAAAAATCGGTCTAGTTCAAACCAAATCGTATAATTTGGTTTGGTTTTCTCAATATACGGTTTGATTTTGAATTTTGAAATAAGCGAATCGTACTTCACGATTCAGTCCTTGATTTTATAGCAATGAATTTGATTGAAACCAAACCAGATCATTTAAATTGTATATATAATTTGTTACCAAATATAAATACAAAAATATTTTATTAGGATCAAATATATAAATAAATTATAATTAACTCCACTTTATAAGTATATTTTTATAGAGTAATAGAATTAGTTTTAAACAATCATGTAAACAATTCTTAACTTGTAAATAATATTTTGTAATATATTGTGAATAATAATAATAATATTTTTAAAATTCGTAATTTCAAATCGAACCGAACCATGGTTTAGTCATTTAGTTCATATTGATTTCAAATTTAATGGAACCTTAGTTAATAAATTAGTCTTGATTTACAACTTAACCACACCAATATCAACCATACTCACCCTTACCTGCAATGCTATCAGTATAGTTTCATTATCTAGGGTCTGTTTGAAAACGTAGATTGGCTCCAAATTTGATGGAACCTTATAGCATAGTTTCATTATCTAGGGTCTGTTTGAAAACGTAGATTGGCTCCAAATTTGATGGAACCTTAGTTAATAAATTAGTCTTGATTTACAACTTAACCATACCAATATGAACCATACTCACCCTTACCTACAATGCTATTAGTATAGTTTCATTATCTAAGTCTGTTTGGTAACGTTTACGTTTTCAATTTATATTTACAAAAATTTTATAAACTGATTTTTGTTTATTTTTAGAAAAATATAAACTACGAACACGTTTGGTAATTGACAAAATGTTTAAAAAAAATTTAAAATATAAAAAGAGTGAGAAATGGCAAGTGGTGACAATTGGCGGCGGAAGACGGTGGTAGAAAGTGGTGACGGTGGGTGGTGGGTAGCGGCCGACAAAGCCAAGGTATCACATACAGGGAACCGCAGGAAACAAGATATATGCTTTATTTTTCTTTTTTATGTCAAGTATGGCAACTATACTTATTTTACAACAAAAATGGTAAATTGCACAATGACCTGCAAAAAGAGCATCTTCCTCCAAACTTGCTGAAGGCCATTGCCCTCGCCCAAACTAACAAAGAGGGGAGCCAATCCTCAAATGGGCCACACACGTCCTACAAACTCAAGAAAGGAACAAATAACCGGACAACCCTCAGATGTGCCCCACAGGCCCTCACTGGAGTCAAAAGGATAGCCAGAGACCGAAAAGGAACAGTACCCACCCCTCAGGTAGGGCCACAGGGTCTAGCAGAGGCCAAAACTGGCATGCAATTTCCCTCAGTGCCACTTTTTAACTAAGTACTTGAGGACAGTATTAACATTACTGCATTTGACCGAACAATAGATATGAATTTCTAAGCTTAAATAAAACCATTTTATGTCCTAAGAAACCAATTTTTCCATGCAACACGTCTTTTGGGCTAAATTTTTCAGTGGTAGATGACAGGTAGGTGGTGGTGGTAGTGGCGGCAAGGGGGGGGGGGTGGGGGCGGCGAGTGGGGGACAGGTGGCTGGTGGCTGGGGGTGGGTGGTGGTGGCAGGTGGTGGTGGGGGGTAAGCAGCAGTGGCGGAAGACGGTTGTGGAAAATGGTGGCGGGGGGTGGCTAGTGTTGGGTGGTAAAAAAAAAAAAATTGAAAACTTGAAACGAAAACACATTTTTTGAGTTTACATTTTTTGACCAAATTTATAAATTGAGACCACTGATTTATAAATCAAAATTTACCAAACAAGTTTTTATTTGAATTTTTAAAATTTTTATAAATATAAACAAAAAACTGAAAACGTAAGTGTTAGTATACAGCACCTAATAAACCATTATATCTACATAACAAAACTCACTTAGATGTGGTATTTATTTAATTGTATTGAATTTCCTAGTTACATTTAGATAATAAAATTTATCATCGCATGTAATAAGTTGTTATTAAAAGATATACAGTACGTGTCAACAATATTTTGATAAAGTAATTATTCAAATACTGCTCAATTAAGTAACTCCAATATTGATGTAATATTCATTTAGTCTTTTTTAGAAAGTGACTTATAAATCAATTTATTGACTTTTTAATTTATTTAAGTTGTATCACCTTTTTATTTTTATATATCTTTTCATAATAATTAAAAAAAATTAACTTATTTAGCACTTTACTTATCTTAATTAATTGGATGAAATAAAATTGATAAATTGATCTTATCTATATTTATACTTATCATGTCATGCTCACAACTTTTTTAAATTTTTTTAAAACGAAAAGTTAATTATTAAGAATACTTTTAAGTTACACACCTTGTGATTATCCGCTTTTAATTTTAAAAAGTAAAGACACCACCAAATAAAAGAGTTGGAGACCAAGTTGACATGGAATTCCTCCAAGCAATGAAAAGACATATGAAAAGCTCCACCAAATCCTCTTGTTGATAAGGCCAATTGACTCCACTATCTACACCTCCGATTGTCTCTAAAGCACCCAAATAGCCACTTGAAAAAAATTAAAAATTAAAAATTAAAAAAAAAAAATTCTTCCCTCCAACTAAGGGCATATGCTTTTTTTTTTTAATCAAATTAATGATTAATAATTAAAAAGAAAAAGTTAAAAACACATATTCCTTCACTTTTTTTAAAAAAAAACTATTTAAATTATTTTTACTCAATTTGAAAACTTGATTAAAAGTTAAAAGTCAAATTTTAATATGTTTTGGATCTCATTTCTTCTCTACTTTTTTATACATTTAAAAAAAAAAAGTCAATAAAAATCAAAGAACCTAACTTTTAATTAACTTTCCAAAACAACCTAACAAAAACATTATCTAACACTCACAAACTCTCCAAAATAAATAATAATAATAAAAAATACTATATGCAACCTCTGCATGAAACAAACCCCAAAAAAGGTGACATCTAATTCTATATAATAGTATATATATGGGTATCGTGCTGTTGGGTCCATGGGGGCCATCACGGGTTCCGTTTTGATAATCTGAACCGTTTAATATGTAGAAATCGCCGAGTAATATATGCCTGTAAAAAATCACGTTGATCGGATATCGATAGCTATGTGATCAAAACAGTTTTTTGTCAACCATTAATTTGTTCACCGTCCAATTTTTTTAATACGAAACTGATTTGATCATATAGCTATCGATATCCGATCAACGTGATTTCTTATAGGCATATAGTACTCGACGAGTTTTACACATTGAACGGTTTAGATTATCAAAACAAGACCCGTGGTGAGCCTCCACGGGCCCAACAGCACGGTCCAGTTCGATCCCGGACTGGACAAAAATCATACCCTATATATATGTAGGGGTCTTTTGGGAAGACAAAAAAAAGTCAATTTTTAACTTTTTATCTATTTTGAGTTATATCACCTCTCACATTTTTTATTTACAAAAAGACAAAATAAACTAAAAAAGTCAAAAAATTAATTTTTTACCAACTTTCTAAAACACTACATATTTGATGCACTTAAAATTTCTCTATAACCTCTCACCAAAATCTAAAGTTGGTCAATCTAAAATTGGTAACAAAAATATGCATTTATCAATAAGATAATGGTCCTCAAAAGAAAAAAATCAATAAGATAATGTGTCCACATCACCGGGATGAAAACAAACCTGTTGTATAAGTCTACATTATTTACTCCAAATAATTGACTTTGAGAAAGGAATATCTACAACTAGTATATGATTTTGATCCAGTCAAGATTAGGAAGACAAGCACAACTTTATTTAGTCCTCAAAAAACCAAAAAAAAAAAAAAAAAAAACAACAATTTTATTCGCACAATTTTATTCGAAAGTTAATTAAAATATTAATTTATTAACTAAAAATAAATTTACAAAAAAATAATGTTAAAAACACTAATTTATTTGACACATTCCTTTTCTTTTTTTCTTTTTAACTTTTAAAAGTGACTATACTAAGACCTTGTTTGGAATACCTTAAAAAAGACAAAAAATTAAAAAATCACTATCCTATATAAGTCACATCATCTTATTTAAATCACATTACTTTTCTACCACATCACTTCAAACCCAACCCATATTTCATAAAAAGTCAAAAAATACACTTATTTAGATTATCCCAAACCATCCCTAAACTTTTTAACAAAATAAATTTGTCAACCGAACTTTCAAACTTCTTTAACTAATAAATTGACTTCTAAACTACAATCAAACAATCCAAACCGCGCCACCCCAACCCCAACCCCAACTCCAACTTCACAAATGGCAAATTCAACAACTTGGACAATTACCTAAAAAGGAAAAGAGGAAGAGAATAAAAATGTTTACGTTTAGATTAGTGGGTAAAACCACGAGTAAACGTGTTGGATCCAAATACGACATGCCTCTTTCAATATCCAAACATGAAATATGTCCTTGGTTCCATACACATACACGTGTCACGGATCGCTAACATTTTGTGGCCCTGAATGGAGGAGGTTGGGGATCACTTGGGCCAAATCGCATGCCCAACAACACAAGCACACCAGCAACAAACCACAAGTCTATTACACAGAAATGAAAAGAGTAAAAATTTTCAAGAAAGCACTTGCAAAACCGAGAGTCAACAATCATAGAGAAATTTCATGCAACAAAGTAACATCAAGAACCAGAAAAAAAGTATTATGGCAAATGGCACGATCAATGATTTCAGACAAATTATAGATCTCATTAATCAATGCTTATACTAATACGAACTTAACAAGTCTGCAAAGGGGAAATTAGTGAGAGAAGAAAAAAGATACAAACTCAATTTATGCCTCTCAAAAATAAGCACACAAAAAAGAGTTAGTGAGCAATGCAATCCCTATTTCAACAAATTTTAAACTCGACCTTTGTGTATTAGTTTCCAAAGTGCCGCCTTGGCTTCCTCTAGAGTTTCTACTGCATTCCCCTCTTCAAATGATAACCTCTGTATGTTGAACTACATATAAAAATATAAAGAGAAATATGAAAACATAAGCAAAGAAACAGTTTTTTTAAAAAATGCAAATATTTATTGAACTTCTTCAAGATAGGAATAATACTTGTGCGCCTTGCCGAACACGAATATCAGTTCCCTTGCTGTCTATTGATATAAGAGCAGCGTCATCTACTTCAATTTCAGCGGACAAAAGCCCTTTCAGGGGCTTTGAAAAGATAGCATTGAGCTCCTACAAATTGGGAAAATTCAAAAACCCAAGTGACAATGTGAATGGACATTGCTCATGCATGAATGCATTACTTCTTCCAAATATTTGCAATCTTCAAATGTATATGCCACACAAAACACCAATTTTAAGATGATTGCACTCTAGAATTATATGTAATCATAATTCAAGAAGCCCACCTTCAAATTCTGCTCACCACCATCCACCGCGATTTTATCAGGTTGAAGAGCCTCGTATTCCTTGACATCAACCCAAGCAACAGTGCCAAAGCCTCCAATGAAATATATGTCACTGATGGCACCAAATAGGAAACAAAAAAAAAATACATAAACTCCGTGCTAACAATTTGCTAGTTACTGATTCTATCACCATAGATACACATCAACGAAGTGGAAATTATTTATTAAAAAAATGGTAGGAGTAACCTGATATATAAGAGCATTAAAAATGAATTTAAAAATGATAGGTGTAGCTTGATCACACTCCAGGTTTAGAAAACACACCTTATATTCTGCATCCTAAAGTAGTAGAAGTTCCCCCATTGTTGAGAAGGCCCTTGTTGATGTTTGGCTATGTACTGCTTATGAGCCCATTCCTGGCAATACACAATCAGAAATAATCAAATCAATCATAAAAAATATATATCATCACTAATGCATAATAGTAAATGTAGACAATTGGAAAACATGAATATCTATTCTTAAATTTCTTGTCTTCCCACATGCAATGATTTTATGTGGCGCCAAAGAATGGTCCAATGATTCAATTGGTCTTGTGAACAAAAGATATTCCAAATCATCAAATTTGAAAATTGAAGCTACTCAAGCATTAATTCTTCATGTTATTCTAGGTGGACAAAAAATAAAAAAAACACAGAAACAAAGCTTCAAGAAATTACTAACATGATCATAAAGGTTAATTCATAAGGCGGTCCCCCAGTTTTTTGTTCCTTTCATTTTCAAAAAATGTTTCCCGCCATCATGCATGGCCAGAAAACGAAAACAAGGATGCGTAATTACTATCAAGAACAAACCATAATTCCACATAAATTTATCAAGTCAGGCAGACACCTGCTGATGTTCTGGAAGAGGGAAGACATCACCGAATATTGTTACCCTTGCATTTGATAGGCCACTCCATCCGGGTATCTATGAAGAAGCGTAAATGTCAATACAATCCATAAATGGAGAACTACTAAACAAATATTGAATGTAAAAATAAAAGCACTAACCTGCACTACAAGTGTGCATCTTGGGTCAGCTAACAAATTTCGCGTGTGAATAGCCAATGGTGAAAATGAAAATATTGGATCTGGAAGCAAAATATCACACTCAATTATATCAAACAAAAACAGGGAGAGTAGTGACAGTTCCATTTGGCACAAGTACAGTCTACTTATGACTTGCTTGTAAAATGTCAAAAATGAGGGAACAACACCTCAGCTAGGTGTGCAAAACAAGCAGAGTTAGTCAAGTTCGACTTGATCTTGACTTGGTTTTGGCTCATCTAGCTCCGACTTGCAAGGAAAATGAGCCAAGTTCCAACAATATTTTAGGCTCAATATGTATAGGAGCCAAGTCTAGGAAACAGTTTGATTGACTCATAAAGCTCACAAGCTTTGGCAATGGAGTAAATAATAATTTTTATGGGTAGCAACTTAGCAAGAGCCCAGGTGCACTTTTACTGAACAGCCAACTAGAAGCCCAAAAAAGTAGTATTCAGCTCGGCATATAAACACTACAATCCTCCGCTAAGGCTAACAATGCATAGAACAACAGGCTAAACTATACCCCAAGTCAAAAAAATAAAATAATTCAGATTTATAGAAAGAGAAAAGCATAACCAAGCTAGAAATGATGGTGAGCGTCATAGGATGAGATAATGGGACCTAAAAGGGTATAAACTAGAAATATTTAAGAATAGAATGAATAAGGAAGATACTTGGGACTTGGAGGATGATGTTAACACTGTGAAACTCAATGGCCAATTGTATGAGGAGAATCTCAAGGGAAGTGCTAGGAGAGTTGAAAGGGATGGGACCCAGCTCTAGGGAAACTTGGTGGTGGAAGAAAGAGGTTCAAGCGGTAGTTAAGGCAAAAAAAGAGTGCTTTAAAAAGTGACAGAAGGATAAAACTGAGAAAAACCTTAAGAGCTATAGATTAGCTAATAAGGAGATCAAAAAAGTGGTGAGAGAGGCTAAGTTGAAAGCTTATGATGATTTATACACTAGACTAGATAGTAAGGAGGGAGAGAAGAGGGTATACAAATTTGCTAAGATACAAGAAGAAGAGATTTTAATCAAGTTAAGTGCATTAAGAGTGAGAATTTTAAGGTATTGGTGAAGGATTAAGAGATTAAAGAAAGATTGAAGAACTACTTTCAGAAACTACTAAATGAGGAACATGGAGGTATGGCAATAGGGGAAGAAATAGCTAACAATACAATAAACCAAGACTATAGGTTCTATCGTAGGATTAGGAATTTTGAAGTGGAGATTGCACTTAAGAAGATGAAATCAAATAAGGTTTTAGGATCCGATGATATCCTTATTGAAACTTGGAAGCGTTTAGGTAAAAAGGAGTTGCTTGACTGACTAAATTGTTTAGCAAAATTTTGTTGACTAGGAACATACCAGATGAGTAGAGGAAGAGTATTTTAGTGCCAATTTATAAGAATAAAGGAAATGCCCAAAATTGCAACAATTATAGAGGAATCAAGCTAATGTGTCATATAAAGAAAGTGTGGGAGAAGGTGATGGAACGCCGATTGCGAGATATAACAGAGGTGTCAGAGAATCAATTTGGATTTATGCCTGGCAGGTAAACAATGAAAGCGATTTATTTTTTGAAAAGAGTAATAGAAAAGTATAGATAAAAGAAAAGAGACATTCATATGGTGTTTATCGACCTTGAGAAAGCATATGATAAAGTGTCTCGGAATATAATATGGTGGGTGTTAAAAAAGAAAGGGATGACAAAAGATTACATTGATGTGATTAGGGACATGTATGAAGGGCTTGTGACTACTATTGGATCGTCTGCTGGAGAGACAAATGAATTTCCTATCACTGTAGAGTTACACCAAGGATCTACCTTAAGTCCTTATCTTTTTGCTTTAGTTATGGATGAGTTGAAGAGAAATATTCAGGATGATGTGCCATGATGTATGCTTTTTGCAGACAATATTGTGCTAGTGGATGAGACTAGCGAAGGAGTTAATATAAAGTTGGAGATTTGGAGAAAAACTCTTAAATCTAAAGGATTTCGAATAAGCAGAACTAAAACATAGTACATGGAGTGTAAATTTAGTAACGTAACAATAAAAGTAGGGGAGAAGTAAAGATTGAGAATCAAGAACTGCCTAAGAGTGAATGTTTTCGTTATTTAGGGTTGATTATCACAACATCGGGGGAGATTGATGCGGATGTGGCCTATAGGATTAAGGAGGGATGGTGTAAGTGGAGAAGTACATTTGGGGTACTGTGCGATAAACGGATACCCGCTAGATTAAAAGGTAAGTTCTATAAAACGGCTATTAGACCAGTAATGTTGTATGGGACGGAGTGTTGGGTAACCAAGAAATAATATGTAGATAAGATGAGTATGGCTGAGATGAGGAAACTTAGGTGGATGTGTGACAAGACTAGACTAGACAAGACAAAATTAAGAATGAGTGTATTCGGGAATCGATAAGAGTAGCACCGATAGAAGATAAGTTGAGAGAGAATCGATTGAGATGGTTTGGTCACATTCAACGGAAATCAATAGAGGCAGTAGTGAAGAGATGCGATGCTGTAACGATAGGTGAGAGTGTTAGGGAAAGGGGTAAGCCTAGATTAACGTTGGCTAACGTTGTAAATAGAGATATGGATCTATTTAATTTGACTAACGAAATGGCCTTTGATAGGGCTGTGTGGAAAATAAGGATTCATGTAGTCGACCCCATTTCATGGGACTTAAAGCTTAGTTTAGTTTGGTTTGGTTTGGTTTGGTTTGGTTTGGTTTTATCTAGCCGACCCTAAATAAAATTCTATATTCATGTTAGACTTCCCCAAGGATAATAAGACAACAAATTGGTCAACCAAATACTGAAACTAAACTGACTTACGTCCCATTGAATCTGGCGCAAAATCTACCAGGGAACCAAATGGGTAGCCTTCTCTTCGGTGGTGCATCCGAGACATTACCGTACACAAATGAGCAAACCTAGCCTTGAATTAAAACATCAAAAAGTAAGGGTATTAATATCGTTTACGAGCATTGGTGGAAGGAAACTTCCCTCCTCAAAAAAATAAAATTAAGCATGTCTACCTGCATACTATATTACAAGGGTAGATGAAACCCATTAACGTGGCCTCAAAGCTCATTGTTTCAAAAACAGTGTTCATATTGTTTCATGGAGAGAAATACATTCTTGCAAAAAGGTTCATAAATTCCAATCACGTTCTAACACCGCCTCAAATTAAGTTAAGCAACTTTTTAAAAAATATATATAACATGTGCACTTTTACCATACAGAAGCAGAAGAGAAAAACTGAGCCAAACATGCTTACCGGCCAGCATGCATTTGCAAAGTATAAACATGGAATTAATTCCATCATTTGATGATCCACTATAGAATCAAATGTTCAAAATATTGACAAGGGTAGATGATTTAGTTATTTGACAGTGTTCAAAATAGTTTGCATACTTTTACAGTAAGGTAATATTTCAAGAATGTTCCAAAATGTAAATGATGCATGCACCAATGGTTAAGCTTATCAAACTCAGATTCTTAATTGGAGTTGTTGGAATGCCAATCTATTAATTGAGTTGCTACTCAAGTAAATAGCACAGCTCTGTAAACCATTGAATGCATTTCTTCCAATCATTATTCCCATACCCTTCCTCCTTTTATTAAATTTTGAAGGAAAATATATTAAAAATGGTAAATTGCAAAAATTAGGTCAGATATATTCAAAAGTTGGTTGATTATAACCCCACCTAGCAGCTCAGACAAGCTTGGATTCAAGGACTGAAGATGTATACTTTAGCCAAATAACTAATCCTTGCTTCAACATGACAAAAAAATCAGGTTGACAGCAATTATTGGTATACTGACAAAAGAAATACCTTTATTTTAATTTTACTTTTTTTACTTTTGGATGATGAGGTATCCATGCCTCTTAAGAACCCAATTAATCCTCTAAGACATGTACTCCCCCATCCCACATGCAACAGGTAATTGCTGAAATAAAACCCCCTTACCTGCTCCATCAGATTGCGCACTGCTAAGGCAGGTCGAGGTAAACCATGAGCCGAAGTTGCACTCTGCACCCCACCAGATATGGGAGTTCTGAAAAGCCCAGCCCTCGTGCCTCCTCCCGTTCCACTTCCATATGAGACAGTAAGAGACGTCTCCATCTTTGGTGTTTCATCTGCATCCTTTTCACTGTTTTGATTGTAATCTGAATGAACCATCTTTGGTGTTTCATCTGCATCCTTTTCACGGTTTTGATTGTAATCTGAATTATCCTTCAGAATACGAGAGAGGCCATCACAACAAAGCTGAAGTAGCCATTTGGAGTATCCATTCACATACTATATCATAAGAAAAGGACAATTCATTTTCATAAAGCAGAATCATAGGTTTATCAAAAGCCTCGCAGAAGGTGTCACAAATGCATACTTTTTGTGAATCGTAATCCAAATTTGTCAATTTTACTATTTAAAACATGTGTGGATAGCTATATCCTTCAGCTTGCATAATGAAGGAAGAAACATCAAGAAAGTCACAAACAATTTTCCCTTTGGCATACTTTTGTGAATCATAATCCAAAATTGTTAGTTCTACTATTTAAAACATGTGCAGATGGCTATATTCTTGAGCTTGTATATTAAAAGAAAAAACATCAAGAAACTCATAAGTAATTTTCTTAACACTTGTTGGAGTGTTCTCCAACATTGTGTCCCAAGAAAATCATTAAAAATAATCAAATTACCCAATTAGCAGTATGACAGCATAGTTGAGCATAATTTAATATCAAATTCTCTCAAAGGAATTCAATTTCTATCTTTGCCTACGTTTTCTCAGCAACCAAACAAAACACGCCGCATAAGTAAGTGATTCGAGTGAAGATTATAAGTACCTGAGACAAAGACGCATTCTTTTCAGAAATTAAACCTAACCCATTATTCAAAAACAGACTCTCTTCTTCCCCTTCGTCCGATACTTCACGGGAAAGCGCGAGAACGCGAGACCCACTAGCCCACGGCGTCTTATTAGGAAAGGCTTGGTTGATTTTCAGAGACCCAGTACGCTTATTTGGAGTTCTGATCGAAGAGTGAGGTACGTGAAGAACTGGAAGTGTCTCTGAGAACACGGGGACGAAAACAGAGCTCGAAAGAGCTTCCATTAGAATATAGAAGACGACGAATAGCTTGGAAAGAGGTAGAGAAATCAAAACCCTCGCGTGAAAAAAGTAGCTTCTTTAATTAGGGTTTGTGAATCGATAGTCTGTCGTTCTCTGGTTCTGATTCCACAACTGCGATGCTAGTAAAAGGTGTGATGGACCTTTTGCGTTTCATGAGAGAGAGAGAGAGAGAGAGAGTGAGAGAGAGAGAAGGGTCCACAGTAAAAAGGAAGGTTAGAGGAAGGAGCTTAATTTACCAAATCTAGATTAGATTCTGATTGTATTTGGTTTCTCTCCCGTTCGATTTTTAACTAGATTAGATGCCTGAGGTTTTTTACCGATAAAAATAATTGAGTAGAAATTTATTATCAATAAGAATTTATAAAAATAATCTTATTAAAAAATAATTAAAAATTCTTACTAATAAGAGTTTTTTATTTAATAATTCTTACTGATCAAAGTTTTCAGTACTATAATTCTTATCAATCAAAAACATAAACTATTTAGTTCAATTGAAATTTCAATTCGAAACAAGTCATTTTCTTAGGTGTATTTGATAACATGATTAAACACTTTGTACGGGGAGCAAATATTCGACAACGCCCGTACTCCTTTCGTCCAAGCTCCGCTTCTATCCGATCAACCTGTGAACGCAACGGCGGTGAGCTACCCGACGGTGTGTTGCCGGAAAACCCCTCCGATGGTCAAATTAGCACACTCACAGAGATAGAGAGAGAGAGGAAGAGAGTTGAATGTTTAGGTTTTTCTCACCAAATGATGTTCCATCCCCAGTATGGGGGGCGCAGTCATGCTTATATACTTTCTGCGTTCACCTCTGCATCTATTCGCTTATTAACATGTGGAGCTGATCTCCCATCCGTCAGCGCAAATCCAGCTAAACACCACCTACCTAAACCGCCAGACAACATTACCAGGAACGGGGCAGCCCGGCGGCGTCACCTCGAACTCATATGACCGGGCTACGTAACGAGTTTGACAGCACCACTCGCCGAGCTCCACCACAACCGAGCTTAGTAGCATTCCGGTACGACTGAGCTCCAGGCAGGTTAGGCCAGTTTTCAAAAGGCCTCTCTCGCCGAGCTAAATGTGCGAACCGTGAAACCAGGGCCGACAGACAATCACCTCGGCCAACTCTGGACAGACCCACGTTAGCTCGGCCCAAACATGCTCGGACCTCTCTCTGCCCAGCTTCTACCATGGCCAAAGCCACATTATAAATCTCCCTCTCAATTGCCCCTTAATTCCGTTCGCGCAAGCGTGATTGGGATTACATGATCCGACCGGGGTCGATTCTCCGCCCTACTTAAATCAGCAAGACGTTGACTAAGCTAATCCCCACGCTCGGTTTCTTGACTTGCTCGGTCGACGCTTTAACTCGCCATCCTGTCTCTTTAGTATTGACGCCGCCGTCAATAGGGACACGCGTCCTTCGTTCATTGGCCTTGTACAACCAACCCCGCCGCCTCTTCACATTCGAATTTTGGCGGTTCTTTTTTCTCCTATAAGCACGTCGCTTGCCCCTTTACATTTCTTTCTTACTGCTTCTCTTCCATTCTAGACGACCCAATGTGCCATCCTCTCTATCAAAAACCATTCTTGCCCTGGACTGTCTTCGTGCTCGAAGATTCGACCTTCACCCCCAAACTGGTAAGTTCTTCGTATCTTTTCATTGTTTTTCATTTGATACTCACATTTTAGGGCACAATAGCCATAGGTTTTAGGGCGTAGCTCCCTAAAGACCACCTCTGCCCCTTCTCTCTCTACTGTTCTTCAACTTCAGTGATAAACACGCAAGGATCTGGGGCGGACTGGGCTCCAGGTCTTCTTTTGATCCCAAAAAACACCAAAATCGAGCAAGTTGCAAGTTTGCAAAACTCGTGTAGGAATCGAGGTAACAGAGTGCTAGACCGCTCGACCGGGTTAATATTTGGTCCGCTTGAGCGGCCGAGCTTCTGGGTTTACCTCTGTGACCGAGATGGTCTGGCACTCCATCTGACCGAGCTAAAGTCGAGCTCATTTTGCGCGACCGCGCTCCCACTTACACTTACACTTCCTTTTACTGCAGAGTCCAAAGGGACCAAGCACCAACACTGACACTCTCAAAGGCTGAGCAGCCATCAAACGAAAGTTTGCCAAACCAACACAGCCGTGCTAAAACCAGCCGGCTTCACATGGGGCGTTACCACTTCCTGGTTGACAAGCCGGTCGCACTAGCCGCATTCTGGGAAGAATATGGCATCCCCGCAGACATACATCTCGAGCTTGGTGCTGAGGATACAACCCCTTGGGGTAGACTAGACCAATGCCCTTTCACCATGCTTTCCATTATCGAAGGCGGCCTTCGCTTCTTGGTCAATCCTCTAATGTGCGAGTTTCTGAGGCGCATCGGGCTAGCACCAACACAAGTTTCAACCAACACCTATAGAATAATAAACGGGATAGCCGAGCTAAACAACCAGCTGGACCTGAGTCTAGGATTAGCCGAAATTCTACGCCAGTACACCCTCGGGCATACAGGCGATGGACTTAACTACTATTTAAAGATTAGGCCGGGCAAGGAGAAGATTGTAACCGCACCCCAGATAAAGAAATGCACGACGATGACTTTTTCTGGGTGTCTGGGAATTACGAAACAGCCGACGTGCTCGGCTGGTACATCAGCAAGAACTTCGGTTCGACATGTAAGTCGTGCTCACTGCTCGGTCAATCCATTTTCCTTCACTGTTCTGTACTAATATTCTTTCTTCTTTCCCACTTTGCATCTATCGAAGCCTTGCAAGCAAACTACTACAACCCCAACGAGGCCGCCATCAGAACCATACTGCGGTATCGTAATTGGGATTGCCACGAACTTCTCGGCTACGTATCGAGCTACAGATACACAGCTCCCCGCCGGAGTAGGGTTACAGACTTTCTCCGAGCACCATCTCCACCACCCGATCCAACACTACCGGACGTGCCCCTAATCTGGTAAACCGAAGCGGAAGAGATGGCCAAGCGAAGCCGCATCAAGAACCTCATCACCGCCACATCCACCGAGCTGCCGAGCATCCCTCCTCGCGCAGCTGCTGCCGGTCAAACAACTGGGGCGATGGTTGCTTTGGCGTCAACTACTGTGGCGCAGACCAGCAAGGACAGTCGCCGAGCCGGGAAAAGGCCTCGGACCGTAGATCCCACAGCCGAGCTCGTTGCGGAACTGAGCACCGATCAACCCGCGGTCGCATCTGAGCCAACACCACCTTGGAAGCCTCAGTTGAAGCACCAGGGTAAGGAGATCCTGGCCAACGCTTCGGTCAAAGGCGACAAAGAACACCTCCTAGCCTTCGACCTGACAAAAGCCCTATTCCTGTCGAGCGACGTGACCGGCAGTGACTACGTGCCCAACACCCGGCTTGTGAAGTCCTCGGTCAAGTCTATGACACGGGTAAGAATTCCGCATGCTTTATTCAAATTTTTTTAAGTGTTTGCACGGTTGGCTTTCTTTATTCAAACTCTTTTCTTGCAGGCCATCCAGAAACAACATCTTGTGATGGAGCGGATTCATTGACTCCGGCAAAAGGTGATCGATGCCACCAGCCAGGTCGAGCACCTTCAAACCGAGCTGGGATGGTCGAAGGCTTATTTGGGGATTACAAATACTGACAACTCCAAACTGCTCGGCCAACTTAGAGCCGTTGAGAAGGAAATGGACGCTTTCCAGGCCGAGCTGGCAGCATTGAAGTAATCAAGAAAAGATGGAGTGGATGAGACAAACAATGAAGGTTTCAAGGAGGCCGAAGAAAGCTACACCAAGCAAGTCGAGGCCACCAAAGACATATTCTTTAAGTCCGGCTAGAAGGCTGCTTGCGAATAGCTCGGCCAAGGATTTGGGACCAACGTGTTTGCTTCTCCCCAGGCTGCCTTTCTGCCAGCCTATATGGTGCCATATGCAAAAGATGTCTTCAGTGCCTTGCAAGCTGAGGCCGAGGAAGAAAGCGGGGACAACGCCGAGGACGATGCCGACGGAGAAAACAGCCCTAAGGAGACCGGCTAGGTTGAGTCCGACGCCCGAGAAACCACAACTACGGTCGACTTGGAGGCAGTTGCAACCAGGGACGACTTTGCTGGCCTTTTCCCCTTAGTTTAGTTTTTGAGAATGTAACCGGGCTGCCTGCCCCACCTTATGTACTACAGTTTATCATAAATGAAAAGTTCTCATTTTGTTTACTGTTGCACTGCTTGTTGTACTATGTTTCTTCATCTCGGTAGGAACCTTTGACCAGAGAAAAACATTAACTCCTTTAGCCGGGGTAAAGCATCTCGGCTAGAGCTTTTGAGTTGGGCAAATCATCAGCTCCTTTAGTTGAGATAAAGTACCTCGGCTAGAGTTTTTAAGTTGTGCAAATAACTAATTCTTTAGCCGGGATAAAGCATCTCAGCTAGAGCCTTTGAGCTGGGCAAATCACTAACTCCTCTAGCCGGGATGAAGCATCTCGGCTAGACCCTTCGAGTTGAGCAAAACATCAACTCCTTTAGCAAGAATAAATCATCTCAGCTAGAGCCTTTGAGTTGGACAAATCACCAACTCCTCTAGCCGAGATGAAGCATCTTAGCTAGAGCCTTTAAGTTGAGCAAAACATCAACTCCTTTAGCCGGAATAAATCATCTTGGCTAGAGCCTTGAGTTGAGCAAGACATCAACTCCTTTAGCCGGAATAAATCATCTCGGCTAGAGCCTTTGAGTTGGGCAAATCACCAACTCCTCTAGCCGGGATGAAGCATTTCGGCTAGAGCGTTTGAGTTGAGCAAAACATCAACTCCTTTAGCCGGAGTAAATCATTTCGGCTGAAAACTTCAGAGTCGAGCAAATCACCAACTTGTTTAGCCGGGGTACATTATCTCGGCTGAAACCTCAAAGTTGAGCCAATCATCAACTTTTTTAGCCGGAGTACATCATCTCGGCTTAGGAGGTGTTTACCTCTCGTGTACTACATCACTTTAATCACAATAAAGCTCATAAACAGAAACAGTTCCTTTGAGTTGGGCAAACCACCAACTCTTTTAGCTGGGGTAAATCATCTCGGCTACGCCACAAGAGTAAGCCCCTCAGACATTATATTACTTCGAACACCACAAACTTCTTCAACAAAGATAATGCACTTCAATTGTATTGACAAAAAGAGTATTACATTTACGATTGTGGGAAAACAAGTCCTTCCACAAAAAACTACA